TTCAGTACCATCGGTTCCTGATCATGTGCTTCCCTGTGAAATGGTTGAACATCAAACATTTTGTTTTGGTACAGTGACTCTGTGTATTTCTATATTCCATATTCTATATTTCTATATTCTATATTCCTTTGATGCTTTCTGCGTCATTTAATATTTTGTCCATAGAATTCTTTAATATTTCAAATAAAGGCTTAATTTTTTTCTTCAGTTCTTTCAACTTGAGAAATGCTGGGTGTGTTGTTCCCTGTGGGATTTTAAACTCCAGGTCTTGGGAAATTTCACTATAATATTTGACTTTGTCTTCTAGAACTGCCCTTTGAAATTCTCTCATTTTTTCAATTTGCTTTAGCATTTATACAGTAGAAGGCAAATTTCAAGGTATCTTCTGACTTCAATTTTGCTCTTTTATTTCTATCTTTTGAATGACCTTTTGCCTTCTTCCTTTATGATGCTATTGATGTCTTTCCATGACTTTTCTGGTCTTTTGTCATTAGTGTCTAATGCATCAAATCAGTTCTTGAGATGATCTCTAAATTCAGGTGTAATATGTTCAAGGTCAAATTTTTGGTCTAGTAGACTTGTTTTAATTTTCTTCAGCTTCAGTCTGAACTTGCAAATGAGCAATTGATGGTCTTTTCCACAGTGTGCCCTGGCTTGTTTTGGCTGATGATACTGAGCTTTCCCACCACCTCTTCCCATTGACATAGGAAATTTAATTTCTGTGTACACTATCTATTGAGGGCCATGTATACTGTTATCTTTTATGTTTTTTAAAAAAATATATTTGCAATGATCAAGTCATTGGTCTTGCAATATTCTATCATGAAATCTCCATCATCATTTCTTTCACCAAAGCCATATTTCCAATTACTGATCATCCCTCTTTGTTTCCAACATTTGAATTCCAATCACCAGCAATTTATCAGTACATTCTGGTTGCATGTTTGATCAATTTCAGTCTGAAGAATTGGGTGCTGTTGTTGTTGTTGTTAAGTGCTGTTGAGTCGATTCCGACCCATAGCGACCCTGTACAGGGTTTCCGAGGCTGTAAATCTCTATGGGAGCAGAAAGCCTCATCTTTTTTCTGAGGAACAGCTGGTAGTTTCGAACTGACCTTAAGGTTCACAGCCCAATTCGTAACCACTACGCTACCAGAACATTCTTCACTTTCATTATCATTTGCTTCAGTGTTTGCTACATTAATTTGAATAAAAGTGGTGTAGACTGGCCTTCATTGTAGGCATATGGATATTATTCTATCACAGACAGCATTGTACTTCAAGATAAGTCTTGAAGTATTCTTTTTGATGATGAATTCTGTGTCATTTCTCTTGGATTTGTCATTCGTAGCACAATAAACTATATGATTGTCAGACTCAGAATGTCCAATATGAGTCCATTTCAGCTCATTGATGCCAGGATATTGATCATTTGTGTTCCATTTCATTTTGACAACTTCTAAAGAACCAAAAGAACCAATAGATCTGTTTTGGAAGAAGTGCAGCCAGAGTGCTCCTTGGAGGCCAGGATGGCTAAGCTTCGTCTCTCCTACTTTGGACATATTGTCCAGAGGAAACAATCGTTGGAGAAGGATGTCATGCTGGGTAAGGTGGAGGGTCAGAGAAAAAGAGGAAGACCTCTAACGAGATGGATTGGCCATGTGGCATCATTGATGGACTCAAGTGTGGCAGCGGTAGTGAGGTTGGCCCAGGATCGGACATTGTTTCGTTCTGCTGTGCATGGGGTCACTATGAGTCGGTTCCGACTCGATGGCACCTGACAACAACAACAACAATTTTCCTAGATTCATACTTCTTACATTCCATATTATGATTAATAATGCATGTTTACATCTGTTTCTCTTTATTTTAAGCTGTGCACTGTCAGCAAGTGAAGGTCCTGAAAGCTTTACTCCATTGATTTCATCATGATAAACTCTACTTTGAGGAGGCAAGTCTTCTTAAATCATATTTTGAGTGCCTTCCAACCTGAGGGGCTCATCTTCTGGCACTATGCCTGACAATATTCTGGTGCTTTTCTTAATGTTTTCATTTTCTATTACTGTATTTTCTAATGTTCCACTGCTATGTATAAGATTTTCAGGGGCTGAACATTCAGAAATAGTCTGCCACTCCTTTATCTTAGCGTGTCTTAGCCTGGAAGCTCCACTAAAATCCGTCTAACATGGATATTCCTGCAGGTGTTTATAATACTGGTAACATAGCTTCCAGCATCACAGCAATATGGAAGCCACTACACTATGACAAACTGACAGATGAGTGGTGGATAATTTGTGTAAGGAAGAGTTACCTTTGTCAACTGATTATATTTGTAAAGTCTGCTTCTGAAGTTGACTTTTGCAGGTGTCTGGGCACCTGACTCTTAGAGAGATCTCAACATTTACAGAGGTAATAGAAATGGCTCAATACACTAATCACAAGGTATTGCTTTGGAAATTTGGTGCATCTTGTATGATTCCATTAGGAAAGGACCTTTGGAAGCTTGTGCTTGGTTTCCCCTGAGCCCACCCCTTGTGCCTTCTCTCTCTGCTGATTGTATTTGTTAACCCTTTGCTGTAATAAGTAATAGCTGATTACTTGTCTAAATATTAAGTCTTGCAATTTCTTGTAAGGAGTCTTAGTGGTATAATGGGTTACATGTTGGGTAGCTATCCTTGAGGTAAGCAGTAAGAATTCGCCAGCCACTCAGCAGGAAACAGTTGAGGCTTTTTGATCTTGTAAACATTTGCAGCTTCAGAAACACTACACAAAGTTCCTGTGAGTCAGCTCTGGTAGCTTAGTGGTTATCATTCAGGCTGCTAATCTATAGGTCAGCAGTTCAAAACTATCAAGTGTTCTCTGGGAGAAAGCTGAGACTTTCTGCTCTCATAAAATTTTACAGCCACAGAAATCCTATGCAGGGCAGCTACAAATCAGAACTGGCTCTATGGCACACCATCATACCATCATCACCACCACAACCACCCACCATGAGTAAGAAGGTACTAAATGGCAAAAATCAGCAGTATGAGTGACTTCTTCTAGTGAATTATTAAGCCTGAATGTGATTTTGAGGATTCCCAGGTCACAGTTGTGCTGTGTATAATCTTTAATTTATTTAACGCATATAAGTCACTTAACACACGTGAAAAAATTTTCTACTGAGAATTTAGACATTATCACTTATAATCTGAGAAATTAAATTCTTCTAGCAATTTGCCCTATGGTTACAAAATATTACAAGGAATTATTTTTTGTGCACTTCAAAATGTGAACAACAGATTAAACATTCCAAGCACAGTGTCTATAGTTTATTCCTAAATTTACATTTGAATACATTCTAAAACATGTTCTAGAACATCAAGAACATGAGTCCAAAATAAATTTTTAAATTACATTTATTGCTTTGCCTTCCTAAGATTGTTACTATCTTTATTTTTTTAATTTATTTCTAGGATCTTAGTAGGATTATTGGAACATTACTTTAGAATTGACATAACGTCTCCAAACATATAACAATATGCATATAATTAGTATTTCTGGAGTTTCCCTCTGGAAAGATGCATTTTCTAGTTTCATTTGGTTACCATTACAAACCATTTTCTTTCACTGTAATATACAAATATGATTTTTTAATACTATTTTAAAATAATATATGTTATATAGGATTTAATTATCATTAGCATGAAATAGAAAAAATCATATCTGTCAGACTATGAAGCTGAGTTGGCAGAAACAGCTATCCTTTTTAGAACAATATTTAAGTCAAGCAACTTGGAATACTCTGTTGGATTCTCTTTCAGTTGGGTTATTGTGTGTGACAACTAGTACTAAAGATATCTTCTTTATTACATTCTGTATTAATGTTCATGATTGCCTCCTGTTCTGCATTAAGCTGCTACTTTTTGGGGTAACAATTTGGCTACCTAACAATTCCTTGTGTTTTCTTCTTTCCGATAGAAAACAGGACACATTTATGCTTTAAAAACTTACATTGGCATTGCCTTATTTTTTAAAAATCAATTAAAATGAAATGTACAGCATCTGGTATGGCACTATAGAATCAGCACTGGACTGATAATGGCAAGTTTGACAGTTCAAACATACCAGGGTCACTGTGTATTGGAATTGTCTCAAAGACACGTAACAACAGCAATCATATGTACCTTTCTATTGTATCACTATTTTATGTAGTCTTTACATACATATATATGCTTTTTCTCCTTTGAAGTAATGTGCCTTCATAGACTTTCATTGATCATGTTGATTTAATTCATTATGGTTATTATTCTTTTTTTAATAATAGTTGTATTTTGATACTAATGATGTCACAATTTGTTTAGTAGAAATCTTACAGGACCCCTGGGAGTTATAGTGATTCAAAAAATGGTATCATTGTATCTTGACTGCTTTTCACTTATGCAAGAGGCAAGTTGATTAGTGAGATCACACCAGCAAAGCCTGATTTACACTGACTGAGTCTTTGTGTCAATGCTTCGGGAAAAAAATGACATGAATGTGTTTTAGTAATCTTCCAAAGAAGTACAAAATGATAAGTGTTATCTAATTGCCAGCCACAGGAATTAAAATTAATTCAGCATATTTATTTCTATATCTAAGAAGTAATTATATAAGTGCTATAATATATTAGCCAGTCTGCCAAAGTTTTTCCTATGCTAATAGGAATGAGATATAGTTACTTGCACTTGCCAGAGTTGAGAACTATTTTTGTATTTTCATTTTTGTTGTTGTTTTTTCTAATCTATGGTTTTGTTTGTTTCAAGCTAAATCTTTACATTTGACATTCAAATATTATTACCTAAATTGTTCTAATTTTATTATCTTTAATCCCTTGAAGTGTGCTGAGTCGAGGTTGGGAAAAACTCCTTAACTTGAATTATACATTTCTTTAATCATGGTGAAGCACAATAGCAACTCTGCTTGAGATATAGCCTTAGTAAAACTTGTCTTTGGATCTCCTTAGAAGAAAAGACTCGTGATTTATTTCAAGAGCTTTTTCAGAGCCTCTTTCACATCCTTATTCCTCAAGCTATAGATCATGGGATTTAACATGGGGAAGACCACAGTGTAAAAGGTAGAAACTATTTTGTCCCTATCCATGGAATAGCTAGATCGGGGGCGAGAGTAGATGTAAAGAATAGAACCATAATATAAGGTGACAGAGAGTAAGTGTGAGGAGCAGGTTGAGAAGGCTTTGAGGCGACCCTGGGTGGAGCGGATCCTCAAGATTGTGGCAATGATGAAAAGGTAGGAGGCAAGTATGAACATAGTGGGGGTGATGACATTGGAGGCCAAGAAGAAATACAGTAGAGTCTGGTAGCCATCTTTTCTGCCACATGCCAGCTTCACCAGGGGAAGTAAATCACAGAAAAAGTCATCAATAACGTTGTCACCACAGAAGTTTAAGGCAAAAGTTCTTTTGGTGATGACAGAAGAGTTAATAAATCCACCAAGATATGAGGCTACTATTAAAAATGCACATAGCTTTATGGACATTGCTTGGGAATAAAGAAGTGGTTTTGAGATGGCCATATAACGGTCATATGCCATCGCAGCCAATAAGTAACACTCACTATATGCCAGGCCAGCAGAGAAGAAGAATTGAGCTACACAGCCAGCAAAGGAGATGCTTTTGTCCTCAGAAATGCAGGTCACTAGGATCTTTGGGGTGTACACAGAAGAATACCAGAAATCCAGGAATGATAGATTGCCAATAAAAAAATACATGGGTGTGTGGAGCCGAGAGTCGTTGCAAATCAACACCATGAGTGTGATATTTCCCACCACAGTCACGGAGTACACGCCGAGGAACACCACGAATAGGATCAACTGCATCATAGGGTCTGTTGTGAAGCCCACCAGGATAAACTCAGTCACAGTGTGATTGCCTCTCTCCATGTTTATAATCTCATCTAAAAGGAAAAGAATGGCTCAACTTTTATTGTTGTGCTGTGTAAATAGAAAACATGCTAAATAATGAACATCATATCATCTGTAAATTTAGAAATCTAAGATTCAACCAATTACTGTAAGTGTTCATTTTTTTCCAGTTTATAACAATCACTCACTTTACAACTATGTAATCAAATTCCAAATTTCTGAAGTCAGCTTATTATTTTTCCCCCTGTTAATTATTACTGTTCAACTAAAGGATGGACAGCCATAAAATTGATTTATTTTTTGTGTGCAGTGGTCCTCTTCATAATAGTGTGATTTCTTACATTAAAGTGTAACTTTTTGCATCTGAAATCCTAGACTTAGCATCTATTTTAAAGGTTCAGATATTTTTTGTTGTCATTGTTGTGCTTGCATATATTGGAAGACCATTATATATCATAATGGTATCTATTGTTGTTGTTAAGTGCCATCGAGTTTGTTCCAACCCATAGCAATCATAGGGTTTCTGAGGAGTAGCTGGTGAGCTTGAACCACTGACTTTGCAGTTCAAACTGACCTTGCAGTCCAGTGCATTAACTTACAATGCCACACCAGGACTCCATGGTGTCTTAGGTGTAAGAAAATAGAATATAAAAAGAAACAACAAAAATAACAGCAACACAGGTTTAGAGCACATGATAACATACAAACTTTTTAGAAAATATAGAGAAGGATGACATACAATAACAGGATGCTAAAGGACCCAGGATAATGGTATTTTGTACATGTTGTTGTTGTGTACTGCCAAGTAGGTTCTGATTCACAGTGACCCTGAATAGTATTTCTGAGAGTGACTATATGTTTGAACTGCCAACCTTGAGTTTACCAGTCTAGTGCTTATTCTACACAATCACACAATGGTTCTTAGGCTATAATACACACATACTTGTAATTGTTAAGTGCCATCCAGTTGGTTCTGACCCACAGCAACCCTCTACAGGTTTTTCTGAAGAGTAGCTGAGTATGCAGTTCAGGGCACTAACCCACAGCACCACACCAGGATTCCACACACATAATATAAAATAATAATTTAAAGAACCAACTTTAAATATAAGTAAAACTTATATTCGAGTACTAAAATTAAAACAAATAAATTATTATTTTGATATTTTGCAATTAATGATTTTCCTTAATGATGAGGATATATATATATATATATATATATATATATATAAGCACTGGGATGTGATCCACAAGGTCAGCAGTTGGAGTCCACATGCTGTTCAGTGGGATAAAGATGAGGCTTTCTGTTCCCATGAACACTTACAACCTTGGAAATCCTAGAGAGGGTCTCTGAGTCTGAATTGACCAGATATTGCTTACCAGCAACGTTTGTGTTTAAGACTGCCTATCCCACCTGATTCCATTTAATGAGAAAGAAATCTGCCTAGCCCCTTATTCACAATTCTCTGCTCATAGAACTAGAAATATTTTAATGCATTAGGTATACAAGAATATAAGTAGCAATTTACATCTATGAAGGGATTTCAAAAAGTTCCAAGAAAAATGAAATTAAATGATAATGAAAAATTTCCATGAATTTTTTAAGCCCTCTGGTATAATCCACTAAGGGAAAATTCAATTAACACTAACTTCTTACTAACCTAAGTCATTTTGTAGTTAAGTGAACATAAATCCCAGTGAATATGATTGTTGTGATTTGTACGCCCATCTGATTGGAACACTAGGAAAACACACAGCACATATTAGATTTCCAATATTGTTGTTGTTGATTTGCACTCATAGCTACCCTGTATAGGATTTCTAAGGAGAAGCTGGTGGGTTTGAACTGTCGACCTTGCGGTTCACAGTTCAATGCTGACTCTAGAGCACCACACCATGATTAAATTCTTTTTGAGTAAAATATATTAACAACAGAAGATTATTTCTATTAGACTTTTGCTCTGAGACTCCAATAAAGATGCCATTGTCAAGATCCAAGGAACTCAACTGACTAAAGCCAATGGTCAGCCTTCATAGACTGCAGTTAACACAGTGTATTACTCCTGCCTGCCAGAATACTTCTTTTTTTCCTTCTTGATTTCCAGGTACATGCTTGACTTCTTTCCCTTCTGCTTCTCTAGGTACTTGCTCTTGTTATTGCCCAGACAACACCAACTGAATTTTTAAGTACTCTGGGATCAACCTTTGGAGGTCTTCTCCATTCTATCCAAACCACTCCCTGATGATCCTATCTTGTCAGAAAACTATATATTTTCCAAATGACAATGAATCCTCTTATATCCATTGGCATCCTTAGTTTTGTTATCATCCAGTGGGGTAACTGGACTCCTTGTGTGATAATATAGGATAAGCACTGGGATGTGAACCTCAAGGTTCTCCTCAGAATCCCTGTACAGTGTTTCTGTGAGTCGGAATCAACTTGACAGCATTTAACAAGGACAAAGGGGGTAACTGGGTAACTGATGGTATAACTCTCTCCTGTACCCCGTCCTCATGGACCTTCTCAAGTACCAGACTATACAGACATTGTCCCCCATCTGACAGTGCCACTGGGTGCAGTCTGCAAAACTGAATTCTGAACAGTCCTCCCAAGCCCTCTTCTATCAGCCTGTCTCACTGCAGTAAATGGCATAATCTAAATTAGAGGGCATCATTTAATACCTTTTTTGATTTCTCTCCAATTTTCACACTGCGTCTGAATAATTAGCAAAAACCTCTCAGCTCTACCTTCAATGTATGTGTTTTTTCAGAACCTGAACAGCTTTTCTCAGCTCCAAGTTTTCAACCCTAGATTAAGCCATTATTTTCTCCTACTTTCATTATCAGAGTTCTGCTGTGATGCTGAAGGATAAGCACTGCACTGCTAATTGCAAGGTTGGTGCCTCAGATCCACAAACTCATCCTGGGAAACACTATAGAGAGTCATTTTCAGTCGGAACCAACTGGACTGCCCTTAACAACAACTACACTTGCCTCCTAATGCTCTTCCTGCTTCCATTCTTATCTCACTTGATTTTGTTATTGAACAGGGCAACCAGAATGGTTCTATTAAAATGTCAGTAAGATCATTTTGGAGTCGTGGTGTGGCGCTGTGGGTTAATGCACCAGACCGCAAAGCTGTTTGAACTTCAAGGTCAGCGGTTCAAGTTCACCAGCTGTTTCTTGGAAACCCTATACAGGGTAGCTATGGGTCAGAATCGACATGATGGCACTCAACGACAACAACAAAGATCATTTTATTCATCTTCTTCAAACTCTCTAAAGTCTTCTCCAATGAGAGTATGCTTTAAAGTCCTTACAAAGATGAACACATTTTATGTGATCCGACCCTTATTACTTCTCTGCTCCAGACTCCTAATAACCTTCCCTTCACAATTTCCTCCATTTCAGCCAGCTGCCTTCTTCTGTATTCCTGGAATTATTGAGACATGCTCTAGTTCTTTGTAGTTTTTCTTTCCAGAGGCTGGAAATTATTCCACACAAAGCTAGCTCCCTCATGTTTTTCACATCTTACTCACCCCTGTCATTAATTCTTTTAAGTTCCCTGACTACCATATTGCATTCTACTTCTCTGATATTTCTCATACCCCTTCTCTACTTTATTTTTCTCCCTAGGATATTCTTTCCCTATTATTCCCTTCTTCTCTTGTGTTAATATTATGTTTATCTCACTTATTTATTAACATATTTCCTTACTTTTCACTAAAATGTACTGTTTCTCTTCTGCTTCTTTCAAACTTTTTTTATTATTGTAAAATTGAAGATAATACAATACTAACCAATTCAAGATTTTTCATGTGCACAATTCAGAGACACCATTTATATGGCTCATGCTGAGCCACCATCACCAATATCCACTGTCAAAATTTCTATCACTGGGAAGAGAAACTCCATGCTTCCTAAGCAATCATTTCCCCTTTCCTCCTCCCTCCCACCCTTGGTCATTACTATTAAAGTCTAATTTCTATACATTGCCTATTCTCAGTACATATATAAGGAACCCTGGTGATGTGCTGGGCTAAATGTTGGGTTGCATTCTAGGTGGTTCAAATTTACCAGCTGCTCCATGGGACAAAGATGTTGGTGTCTGTCGAGAACTGGCCTCGACATGGGGGTTTGGTTCACGAAGTAGGGAGATCAGGTGGCGACAGATATAGAGAAAGAATACACCCAAATACACAACAAGAGAGACAAGAAGACACCCTGAGACCAGAGTGGATGCGACACTGGCGTCAGACAGATCCTGCATTGTAAACATCCTGGTTAGGCAAGCAGTATGCACACCTTACCAACTGCAATGCCTGCCCGTAATGCATGCCCTGCAAGCCATAATGCATGCGGGCTTCAGTCTGCGCCTCTTTTTTTTTGCAGAGAGGAGCTTTACACAAAGGAAGGCGGGGTTTATTAAGACAGGGTACAGAAGTAAAATAGATTAATCGTTCAAAACAGGACACAGTGATTTATAGGAACAAATTCTAAAACATACATCACAAATTGTCTTGATCACCTAACATCCTTAATTTTCTAGAAATTCAAGCAAATTGTTATATAGTACTTTGTAGGTTTGAATCCCAAGGCAGCAACTCGAGGTTTCTCAAGGCTAATTAACATATC